GATATAATTTTATAATCATTCAACAAATTATTAAAAAGAGTAAAATTTTATCGGTTGAACAGTTTCCAATAAAGTTAAAGATAACTTTAAAACCTCAAAATATACCTTAAAATCTCAAAACATCTTATATTTTGAAATAAAATAAATCTTATAAAACATCATCTATTTAAAATGGAGTGAGTATTATATAATTTCAAATGTTTTCGTATTAAAATACCCGCACGGTTGTGCGGGTCGAGATTTAGTTATTTAATATTCTTAGAACAGTCAAATTCGTATGTTGTGTTAATGTAAGTAAATTGTGAAAATGTTAGGACTATATATACCAAATGAAAAAATAAATAGAGGAGAACAATTACGTTGCCTTATGCTAAAAGGTTGATGTAAACTTAAAACAAAAACACCGTGAGAAATTTTCATTTACTTGCAAATATTTATTCCTATACAAAACAATTAAACGACGCGAGTACGTACTATATAAAAGGAAGCCACAGACAGTAGTGACTGGTCTAACACGGTGCATGTCAGCAAAAATGACGTTGTAGTGAATCTTGACCTGTTCGTCTCGCAGTTTACGCTCTACTTTTCCTGAAATTTCCTTACTATTTTTCATTTAAAAACTGTTAATAAACTTGAGAGTATAAACTTTTTAACAAAAAAAAAAGAAAATAAACTGGAAATCCGTGAAGTCGAAGCAACCGAACAGAAAAGGAGAAAAGAAACAACGGTCGTGGGGCTTCACTCAAATCATTACGTTTTTCTCTAAAACAAAGTTTTTTTTATTATCTTTGTCTGAAAAAAAATCTGTATCTTTCTCTTGTTTTGTTCCTTTCTGATCTCTGATCTCTCTCCATCTCTTTATCAAGGAAGCCATGGCCGACGATCACTCTTTTCTCTCCAAGGTATATATCGTTGTGTCTGGCTTTTATTAGATTCAAAGCTTTGCCCATTTTTTTTAATTTGCTTGTGACTTTTTGTAAGTATCTGATCTGTCCAGTAGTTTCAATCTCAGCTTCTAGTAATCTTATATCCCTTTTGCTCTAACCCATACGAATTGATTCTTGGAGAATCAGTATCATTAGAAAACAAAAGATTTTCGTTGATTATTCTATAGTTAATTAACACGAGGACGTAATTATGTATTGTTTTTTATTTTGTAGGATAGTTTTGTCATGAAGCTTCCTAAACAGTCCTCACTTGTATTAAGAATGGTCGTTCTCTTCTTTGTAATGGTGTGCACTGTGTACATTTGCTCGATTTGTCTGAAGCAAATTGGAGTCAGCCCAAACTATGGTTTCTTGAACGTTGAAGTCTTTGAGAGGCCTTGTCCTGAGCCTAACATCGAACCATGGGACATTCCATACATGCATTACCCTAAACCAAACACATATAACAGGTAAGGTAAACAGAGAGAGAGAGAGAGCGTTTATGATTCTTGGTTCTATATTTTATATTTGATTAGTATTTTTTTGTGGTGTTTTGAATGATTTAGGGATGAATGTTCTTGCCAACCGGTTAGGTACTTTGCGATTATCTCCATGCAGAGATCTGGTAGTGGCTGGTTTGAGACTTTACTTAACAATCATACTAACATAAGCTCCAACGGAGAGATCTTTTCTAATAAAGATAGGAGGGCTAATGTTTCATCCATTTTTGAGACACTTGACAAAGTCTATAACCTAGACTGGTTAAGTAGTGCCTCTAAGAATGAGTGTACTTCCGCTGTTGGCTTCAAGTGGATGCTTAATCAGGTAATATACACACATATATACTTTTGCTCTGCATGCACAAAGGTAATGCATATTTATTGGTCACATTGTGAATATTGTAGGGTCTAATGAAACACCATGAAGAAATAGTAGAATACTTCAAAACCAGAGGCGTCTCTGTAATTTTCCTCTTCAGAAGAAACTTACTGAGCCGCATGATCTCAGTACTCGCAAACTCTTATGACAGAGACGCTAAGCTATTAAACGGGACTCACAAGTCTCACGTCCATTCGCCCAAAGAGGCTAAGATACTTGCGGATTACAAGCCAATGATCAACACAACACTTTTGATAATAGAGCTGAAGAAAATTCAAGAAATGACTCTTAAAGCATTGGCTTACTTTAATACCACTCGACATATACTTCTCCATTACGAAGATGTTGTGGAGAACCGCAATGTGGTTATTAACTTTAATACCACTCGCTATATCCTTGAGTGATTATTTTTTTCTTTTCTTTATGTGTTAAAGATGAATTTTGCTTTGGATGCAGAGACTAGACGATGTACAAGAGTTTCTAAAGGTTCCAAAACATGAGTTGAAGAGTCGGCAAGTGAAGATTCATCGAGGTTCATTGTCACAACATGTACAGAACTGGGAAGAGGTCCAATCCACACTAAAAGGAACTAGTTTCGAAATTTTTTTGCGCCAAGATTATTAAGTTTCTATATATCAGATCAAACTTGTAGGAAATTTTTGGTCAGTTTTGTTTTTATTTCAATCTTAGTTATGGCAAGGGTAATAGTTACTCAAGAGGATCCAAAGTAAAACTCCATAGGCCAAAGATTGAAAACAATCAAGATTGAAAATCTGTTTAATTTCGAGAAAACCACATGTTTCACTCGAACCGGATGCTAATTTCAGAATGATTGACTTAAACCGAAGTAAACCGCATGAAATCTTTACACCGAAGTGATTGATTTCAACATGTTTTACAGTTTCGTCCCTGAAAACATTCAGATTGCTAATTCTACACCCAAAATAAAATCAAAATGCGGAAAAACCCCCAAATAAAGATAAAAATGCGCTATAGACACTGACGACGGAAACGAAACCCCCGAAGATTTGCCCCGACTCTCGAGATGGAGGAGAAACGACGCGATGCCGGAACCCTAGCTTCGGCCGGAAGCTCCGGAGATTCTCCGGCATCCGAGCCGGCACCACGTCGTCGTGTGAAGCGAAAATCGAATGCTCTCGGGACCTCCAATTCCTCATCCACTTCTTCGAAGCGGATGACGCGCGAGAAGGCGATGCTCGCTTCCTTTTCCCCGGTCCATAACGGACCTTTAACCAGAGCTCGTCAGGCGCCGAGCAACATGGCGTCCGCGGCTGAGGTGAAGTCGGAGCTGTTGAATGCCGTCTCAGGTACCGACGGCGAGAAGCCGAAGGAGGAAGAAGAGAGGAACAAGGCGATCCGTGAGTGGGAGGCTCTGGAGGCTAAGATCGAAGCTGATTTCGAAGTGATTAGATCTCGCGGGAGTAATGTTCATGTGGTGCCTAATCATTGCGGTTAGATCTTCTTCTTAGTCTACGTGGCGATGAATTGATGCTCTTTGTCCTTAACATTGAATTAGATTGAATGTGATATCATTGTTGCTGTGTTTACAGGTTGGTTCTCATGGGGGAAGATTCATCCGCTTGAAGAGCGTTCATTGCCTTCTTTCTTTAACGGCAAGTTGGAAGATCGCACTTCTGAGGTATATACTCAAATAAGGGATTGGATCATGAGGAAGTTTCATTACGATCCAAACACGCAAATAGAAGTAAAAGATTTAACAGAACTCGAGGTTGGAGACGCAGAAGCAAAGCAGGAGGTGATGGAGTTCTTGGACTATTGGGGATTAATTAATTTTCACCCATTCCCACAAGCAGATGAGAGTTCTGGTGCTGGTGAGCGTGATGGTTTAGGGGATAAGGAGTCTTTGCTTGATAGTGTATATCGATTTCAAACAGATGATGAGGCTCGCCCTGCTTTTGTTCAAAAGCCTCCTCGTCTCACAGCACAAGCTACTACACCGTCAGGGTTGTTCCCAGATCCGGTGTCTGCTGATGACTCGCTGAAGCAAGAGGGTCCAGCGGTTGAATATCACTGCAACTCTTGTTCTGCTGATTGCTCTCTCAAGCGTTACCACTGCCCGAAGCAGGTGTTTCTCTATTTATTTTAGTAAAATGATGTTTTTCTTACCATAAGTGCAATGAATCTTACCATTTGTGGCAATATTCACTCTTTGTCCTATTTTCTTTAGTTTTTTTAAAAATTTATATGCTAATATTGAGATTTTGACAGGCAGATTTTGACTTATGCACGGAATGCTTTGACAGTGGCAAGTTCAGCTCAGATATGTCGTCTTCCGACTTTATACTATTGGAGCCTGCTAAGGATCCTGGCGTTGGTAGTGGGAAGTGGACTGATCAAGAGACTCTTCTTCTTCTTGAAGGTTTAGAGATCTTTAAGGAAAATTGGAGCGAGATTGCGGAGCATGTTGCTACAAAAACGAAAGCTCAGTGTATGCTTCACTTTCTTCAAATGCCAATCGAGGATGCATTTCTTGATCAAATTGACCACAAAGATCCAAGTATAAAAGACACTACAGATGTAGCAGCTGTGTCTAAAGATGATAAACCTGTCCCAAAAGATGCACCTGAAGAGAAAGAGACAGAGAATACGAATCCTGTTGTTGAAGTTGAAACTGTGAAGGAAGCTCCAGAAAAAGAAGATGAGAATGAAGGAAAAGTTCCTCAGGAGTCTTCAAAGCCTGGAGATGCGAATGAAGAAACTAATGAAGTGGAAGCCGAGCAGAAAACGCCCAAGGTAGAAGCTGTCATTGATGAAAGATGTAAAGATGAGGCTGGTGAAAACATTGCTCTTAAAGCTCTGACTGAAGCTTTTGAAGACGTTGGTTATCCCATCACACCCGAAGCCTCCGTATCCTTTGCTGATTTGGGGAATCCTGTCATGGGACTGGTAAGTTGTGATTTGCTGCAACAAAAAGTTATTTTTTTAATTCATAAGTGCACACTCTTCCCATTCTGATCTTGCAAGGTTCTTTTTTTTTTCTATAGGCAGCTTTTCTGGTGAGATTGGCGGGATCTGACGTTGCTACTGCCTCAGCCCGAGCTTCCGTCAAATCTCTTAACAGCAATTCTGGGTTGCTGCTTGCCACAAGACATTGTTTTGTTCTCGAAGATCCACCAGAAAACAAGGACTTAACTGAATCAAAAAGGTTTCACATTTATTTGGATATCCGAGGATGTTTCTCTCAATATTTTTCAAGATATTGGTTGTTCTCAAATCTGAAACTAGCAAAACATTTGCAGTGTAGATGCAGTGGGGAACGATAATAGTGCCCTAGATAGTTCCCATACAGATGGAAAAAGCCGGAAAGCAGAAGATGTCTCCTTGAATTTATATGATAGGGAAATGACAGATACTGATCCAGGCAAAGTAAATCAGGATTCAGTCTCTGAAGAAAAGCAACCTGGTTCCCTAACTGGAAATTCTACTAGAAATCCAGATTCTGAAGGACAAAAAGTATCTCGTAATGCAGCCGCAACTAAAAATTCGGAGAAACCACGGGATATAATTTGTACATTGCAGGACAAAAGTTTAGGGAAGGAGCTCGCAGAGCCTTCAAAGGATGGTGATAAGCTTTCTAGCGGAAATAAAGCTGCCTCTCAAGCAACTGTCTCCCAGGCAGCTACAGATGCTTCTCAGCCAGAAGCATCAAAAGATGTGGAGATGAAGGATACATTACAGTCCGAGAAGGATCCTCAAAATATGGTGAAAACAGCAGGAGAGGAGGTTGAACAGGCTAAGGAGGATGTTCATAGTATGCCAGACACGTCTGTTGCAGAGCAGCCTATTGGATCAGCTTCTGTACAGGAAAATGGAACTGAAGGTTGTCTTTCTCTCCCTGTCACATTAGAAAATGGAGCATTGCATGATTCTCTTATATCTTATTGGTTTGTTGTTTAAACATCGTTTGCAGGTAAAAATCCAAATAAAGAAGGAAGTAAAGAGAAGGTTGTTTGTGCAGGGACAAAAGACAAACATAACTCTGATAGGCTTAAGCGCGCAGCTATCTCTGCTCTCTCAGCTGCAGCAGTAAAGGCAAAGCATCTTTCGAAGCTTGAAGAAGATCAAATCCGACAACTCTCTGGATCATTAATAGAGAAGCAGGTAAAATAAGTGTATGCACCTTTAATAGTGCCGTATTGTTCAGGAGTTGTAACATAATAATGAGTTTTTTTTTTTGTATGCCTAAGCAGTTACATAAACTAGAAGCAAAGCTATCTATCTTCAACGACGCTGAAAGCGTGACAGCGAGGGTAAGAGAGCAATTAGAAAGGTCAAGGCAACGGCTATACCATGAAAGAGCACAGATCATAGCGTCTCGTCTCGGTGTCCCACCTTCAGTGTCTTCAAAAGCATCATTACCAGCAAACAGAATCGCTGCAAATTTTGCGAATGTGGCTCAAAGACCTCCCATGGGTATGGCCTTTCCACGCCCACCAATGCCAAGACCTCCAGGACCAGGTACATGAGCATCATTATTCTCTGTTCCTGAAGTTCAGATCCAGCTCCAGGTTCAGACAGAGTTTCTTGAGTTTAGTGGTTCCACGTGGGGAACTCTTTATGTTCTATTTGTAAGACCAGGTACATTGTCCCATCTCTTGCGGCTTCAACCTTTGAGCTTGGTTTATTTTTCTGGAGATATATCGGACTTATGTAGGAGACGAAGTTAGTTAGGGGTTGTAGACCCATCAGTTAATGTTTAATGTAAGTAACAAATTGAACATGTGGGAGATATGTGAATGTGTTTTATTTATGAATCTAAGAAAACTGAGCAGAGATGTATGATTATGCAGAAGGTTTGAATGTTTTTATGGATTATGATTATCCACAAACGCGTACATGTATTAAAGAGTGCCCGATAATATTTAGTAACGTTGGTGAACGAAGTTGGAACCTAGTGGCTTCTTCTTTCTCCGACATGATCGTTTAGTTTAGTTTTCATGTGTCATATGCAGCTGTTACCCTATTATAGTATATATGTCCAGTAACCTTTACGTGTTGCCGTTCTTTAGGTAACCGACGTTATGAGCTAAACATTCTCTCTCTCCTGAGTCGTTGTCTAACTCCCGCCAATGAGCTAAACATTCTTTCTTTAACTACTTTTTTCTCCAGAAAAATTCAGTTTTTGGTCGGTTCGCATTAAATTTTGATCTTAGGGAAATATCAGTGAAGTTGTATCTTTAATCTCAAACCGGTTGGTCACAGTGTTTCATACAAACTTCAGACGGCACACGCATGCAAAAGTAGCAGAGGCTACGGTTGTTCTTGAAAGATATCAAATATAGATGGATAGATGGTAGAGAAAGAGAGATAGACCTTTGCTTCTAATTATAGTTAAGACTATTCATTTCTTCTGAGTATCTCTCCACGTTCGTAGGAGAAGCTATTTCTCAAACCCAAAAGAGAATCCATCACGATTCCATCTTTCTCAAACTTTTCAACAATCTTCTCATCACCAACTAGGCATGAATGTCTCCCCATATTCTAAGTTTTGAATCGCATAAAGCTATTTGTATTTTGCTTGAAAAACAAGGCTGTTTGCGTCCAGGATCACCTGGGACAAAGGTTTCTCCATCGTTGAGAAACCTTTCACCGAGAAAAACACATCATCATGGCTGACTCACCCGTGGATTCACCTCCTGCCCCGGAAACTCCTAATGCAGGTTCAGGTTCGTCGGCAAATGAGACATCACCACCAGCACCACCTGTTTCATCCCCACCTTCCCCTGACTCTGCTCCTCCACCAACTAATAACAGCTCGGCTTCCTCACCGCCACCTGCACCGCAAGAAACCACACCTCCTCCATCACCTCCACCTTCACCGCCTGCTCCAGTTAATCCACCACCGAAAACTCCAGAGAATCCTTCTCCACCTTCCCCTCAAGTCCCAACTCCTGTAACTCCACCTGCACCGCCTCAACCACCGGCTAACCAATCACCTCCTTTACAAAGACCATCCCCTCCTTCTCCTGGTGCCAATGATGACCGTAACAAAACCATTGGCGGAAACAACAACAACAATAACGGTAACAACAGAGACGGTTCTCTACCGTCTCCACCTTCAGGGAACAGAAGCTCCGGCAACGGTGACTCACCTTCACCGCCTCGGTCAATCAGCCCTCCTCGGAATAGTGGAGGTTCAGACTCATCATCGTCGTCTCCAGGAGAACAACATCAACAAGCCAATGTTGGACTGATTATTGGAGTACTTGTAGGAGCAGGGCTACTGCTTCTACTCCTAGTGCTTATCTGCATCTGTTGCAAGAAGAAAAAGAAGAAACGTGATCCTCAAGTCAACCACTTGCACTACTACAATAATGGTAATCACATGTTTTAATTCAATCAATGATTAGAGGCTTTAGATGCTTAAGGAGTTGTTGCAAAGTGTAGGTAATGGTGGTTATTACAACAATGGGACACCTCAAGATCATGTAGTGAATATGGGTGGTGGAAATTGGGGCCCACAGCAACCAGTGTCTGGTCCTCATAGTGACAGTTCCAACTTCACCGGTCCAACCGCAGCTACACCGTCGCCTCAAGCTGCGACTCTTGGTCACAACCAAAGCACTTTCACCTACGATGAACTCTCCCTTGCAACAGAAGGTTTCGCTCAGTCTAACTTGCTAGGGCAAGGAGGATTTGGGTATGTTCACAAAGGGGTTTTGCCTAGTGGCAAAGAAGTTGCGGTGAAGAGTCTTAAAGTTGGAAGTGGACAAGGAGAACGTGAGTTTCAAGCAGAGGTTGAGATCATTAGTCGTGTCCATCATCGTCATCTCGTCTCTCTTGTTGGATATTGCATCTCTGGTGGTCAAAGGCTTTTGGTTTACGAGTTTTTACCGAATAACACTCTTGAGTTCCATCTTTACGGTACATTCATCTGACATAACATAAATCACTTTTAAAAAGTATTATCTCTCTCTCTTTTATCAGTTACATGAATAATATTTCAGGTAAAGGTCGTCCTGTTCTTGATTGGTCTATACGAGTGAAGATTGCATTGGGATCAGCTAGAGGTCTTGCATATTTGCACGAAGACTGTAAGAAAATCTTTACCTCACACAAATACACTTCTTTGTTCAAGCTCTCTATAAGAAACTTAACATTGTATATGTTTACATATCAATGATAGGTCATCCTCGCATTATCCATAGAGATATCAAAGCTGCAAACATTCTTCTTGATTTCAGTTTTGAAACCAAGGTATATATATTATTGACCCTTGTACTGCTATTACCTTTCATATCTCTTGTGTTGATGTGTAAATCAAATCTACATATACACAGGTTGCAGATTTTGGATTAGCTAAGCTGTCTCAAGACAACTATACTCATGTCTCCACTAGAGTTATGGGAACATTCGGGTAAGCAGCTTTGAACTTTCTGAACACATTTGCTGCATATAGCGCACTTAAGTTCACTCTGTTTTATATGTGCATTGTTTCTTTGGTTCAGATACTTGGCTCCAGAGTATGCCTCAAGCGGCAAGTTATCCGACAAATCTGATGTTTTCTCATTTGGAGTAATGCTTCTTGAGCTCATAACAGGACGGCCTCCAGTGGATTTAACTGGAGAAATGGAAGATAGCTTGGTAGATTGGGTAAGTCGATCCTCTCTTCACTTGTTTAATACTCAAAACGTTTGCAAAAGAAAAATAACTAATGTTACCATTTGTTTTCCAGGCTAGGCCACTGTGTATGAAAGCAGCTCAAGATGGAGATTACAGCCAATTAGCAGATCCACGTCTAGAGACAAACTACAATCAACAAGAGATGGCTCAAATGGCTTCTTGTGCAGCTGCAGCCATCAGACACTCAGCAAGAAGACGACCTAAGATGAGCCAGGTTCAAAACACACTTCTTAGTTATTTTCTTATCAGTTAATAACAATCTTGATGACATTACTTATTTGTATACAAATGAAAGATTGTACGAGCATTAGAAGGAGACATGTCAATGGAGGATCTAAACGAAGGAGGAAGACCAGGACAAAACTCGTATTTGAGTCCCGGAGGCATGACATCAGAGTATGACGCAAGCACGTACAGTGCAGACATGAAAAAAATAAGGAAGTTAGCGTTAGAGACAAAAGAGTATCAGAGCAGTGAGTACGGTGCAACAAGTGAGTATGGTTTAAATCCATCTGCTTCAACTAGTGAAGAGATGCATAGAGGTTCAATGAAACGCAATCCTCAGCTTTAGACATTCTTAGTTACATACACATTCACTTTCATCTCTCTCTGCCTATGCCTTGTTTTCATTCTGCGTCAAAGAATAGCTATAGCAGTTTGAAAAGGGTCCACAACTATCATGTACTTTTAGGTGTTTTATTTTACCAGAGAGACTATACTATAGTGTATTTTGTCTTAGTAAGCAAGCCATATATAAGTTATGGTTTTCTAATTGAGATATGCTTAATCAAGATTTTAATATATGTTCATCGTTGTTGTATACTCCATTCATTTCATTTTAGTGTGGTTTTAAATCTTTACACATTAATTTTACATATTTTGTAGACAAAAACACAATTATATATACATTTAACCATATTTTAATCAATAAAAAAATAAAATAATAGATAAAATTAATAAATTTTGTATTGAAATTATAAAAGGACATTTATTTTGAAAGAAAATTTTCTCGGAGGGAATATTAAATAACTCCGTTTTTTCTATAAAAAAAAAACCATTACATCAAAGTAAAAAATAGTAAATAAACACATAACTTAATCAGTTGGCAAGAAAATAATAATTAAATTGATTAATTGCATCATCATCCCTGTAAACTCTCGCTAATATGACGTGGCAGTCTCTCGCAAGATCATAGTATATTTAGAGCTCAGCGTGTAAACCTGACGCCTACCGCAGCAGATCGGTGCTATTATACCGCTTCTTCTATTTCGATCCCATCCGTTTCTGAACTCCCGACTCGAGATCTGAGTGACGTGCGTGATTCCGAAGGTAGATCAGCAATGGCGCAGCCTTACGTGAAGAAAGACGATGATCACGACGATGAGTGTATGTTCTCCGTTTTTTTCTGTTCTCATTAAAATTTAGGATGATTCTAATGTTTGAATATCTAGTTTGTTACGAGGCGTTAGATCAGATGTTAAGCTTCTAGATCTGTGCCGATTTTTAGATATCAATTGATGCGATAGTCTTTATCTAATTATACATTTTGTGTAATGTAGATTTGGTTTGTGTAGATCTACGATTTCAAGTTTGTGTTGTGATTATTATAGACTTTGTTTGAATCTGATCCGTTGTGAATTGGTGGTTATTTTCAAATTTTTGTTTGTTTTGGGGGATCAGTGGAGTATTCACCATTCATGGGAATAGAGAAGGGAGCTGTTCTTCAAGAAGCTAGAGTCTTCAATGACGCTCAGGTTGATCCCAGAAGATGCTCCCAGGTCATCACCAAGCTTCTTTATTTGCTTAACCAAGGGGAGTCTTTCACCAAGGTCTGTTTTCTTTTTAATTTCGTTTTGATTTGTTTAATGTCATAGCACGTATTGTGTCAACAAAGATTGGTGAAAATGAAGTTTTATGTTTTCTCATTTGCAGAAAGAAGCAACGGAAGTTTTCTTTTCAGTTACTAAGCTTTTTCAGTCCAAAGACACCGGGTTGAGGAGAATGGTCTACTTGATCATCAAGGAGTTATCTCCTTCATCGGATGAGGTTTGCCATCTTACTCAATTTTCATATGAATAATCATGGGACGTTTTGAAGGTGTATTTTTCTGATAAGTTGTTTCTTCTCTCTCTAATAGGTTATTATTGTAACAAGCTCCCTTATGAAGGACATGAACAGTAAGATTGACATGTACCGAGCAAATGCTATCCGTGTCCTCTGCCGGATTATAGATGGAACCCTTCTCACTCAGATTGAGCGATACTTGAAACAAGCTATTGTGGATAAGAATCCCGTTGTTTCAAGTGCTGCTTTAGTCAGTGGGCTTCACTTGCTAAAGGTACTTTTTGACACACCACAAACATTAGGTTCTTTCTTGGTTACTAGGTTATGCTTATATTCTTGTAATGTTTTTATTTCAGACAAACCCTGAAATTGTTAAACGATGGAGCAATGAGGTTCAGGAAGGTGTTCAATCTAGATCAGCCCTCGTTCAGTTCCATGCCCTAGCTTTGCTCCATCAGGTGAGTCTGTTAAATTGGTGCTACCTAACTTATCATGTGTCTTAAAATGTACGTTAGCAAGCAATATGTATGCCTTCCTTCTTCAGTTATAATGGTTATGAGAAATGATCTGATATCTGCCAACAATATCATCATATACAGATACGCCAAAATGATCGCTTGGCTGTTAGCAAGTTGGTTGGTAGCTTAACCAGGGGAGCTGTCCGCTCTCCCTTGGCTCAGTGTCTTTTGATACGTTACACCAGTCAGGTTAGTCCTCTGTGCCGTTTTATTAAGGTGTTGGGAATAGTATCTGTGTGATTTAACTCTATTTTATATTGTTCAGGTTATTCGTGACATGTCCAACCATGGTCAGTCTGGAGAACGTCCGTTCTATGAATTTCTGGAGAGTTGCCTGCGTCATAAGGCAGAAATGGTCATCCTTGAAGCTGCCAGGGCGATCACTGAGCTTGATGGTGTGACAAGCCGAGAGTTGACTCCAGCAATCACTGTTCTCCAACTCTTTTTGAGTTCACCCAGACCAGTTTTGAGATTTGCTGCTGTCCGAACTCTGAACAAGGTTTACAATGCTTTCTTATATCGAAATCTTCATTAAAAAGTCTTTCAACTAATTTTCTTTGTATATTTAAGAATACCCGAAGGATTTATAGTTTTCTGGATAGCTTCATCATTTCCTTTACCATCAAGGATGAAAATATATTTCATCGTACGCTAAACGCAAGTTTGAACCACAGGTTGCAATGACTCATCCAATGGCTGTCACCAACTGCAACATTGATATGGAGAGTTTGATTTCCGATCAGAATAGAAGCATTGCTACACTCGCAATCACCACTCTCCTGAAAACAGGGAACGAATCAAGTGTAGAACGCTTGATGAAGCAGATAACTAATTTTATGTCAGATATTGCTGATGAGTTCAAAATTGTGGTCGTTGAAGCAATAAGATCGTTGTGTGTGAAATTCCCACTGAAGTATAGATCCCTGTAAGTGACGATTTTAGGTTGTGATATTTGTACTTTTGGTCTTTAGATTGCTATTCTTTAGTGACTTAAAAATGGTAAGGTGTTTTTCTAGGTTTTTGGCTTTTGATTAATCTGTTTCACGTTTTCATTTGTAGGATGACCTTCTTAAGCAACATTCTTAGGGAAGAAGGTGGATTTGAATATAAAAGAGCAATAGTAGATTCTATTGTGACCATTATCAGAGATATCCCTGATGCGAAGGAAAGTGGATTACTTCATCTTTGTGAGTTCATTGAAGATTGTGAATTCACTTATCTTTCAACACAGGTAAATTATTTTCTCCATAATCAATCTGGTTGCTATTGAAAAATTCGTACATGGTATTTAAAATGTCTTTTGTCACACAGATCCTTCATTTTCTGGGAACTGAGGGGCCTAACACCTCCGATCCAAGCAAGTATATACGATATATTTATAATCGTGTGCATCTGGAAAATGCCACTGTCCGGGCTGCTGCTGTTTCAACACTAGCAAAGTTTGGATTTATGGTTGAATCCTTGAAGGTATGTATAGTTATCTTATTAGTCTTTTTTTCTCTTCGTTTTCTCTTCCTTGACTGATGAGAAAGAGCCAAATCATTGAATTCTCCGCAGCCCCGGATTACCATTCTTTTGAAGCGCTGCATCTATGACAGTGATGATGAGGTGCGTTCCTAATCTTAGTCTTGAAAATCGACCTTCTAGTCGTTCGTTGCAGTAATATATCTGTGCATTTCTGTTTCTGTATGCTGTTTGTAAACCCTTGAGTCGGTTGCATCATTACACATGCCTACATGTGTTTGCCTTTGTAATGCGTGCAAGTTGTGTGACGATTTCTTTGTTGACCATGAGTTACGACCTCTTTTTATTTCAAGGTCCGTGATAGAGCAACACTATTTTTGAGCGTCCTTGGTGGTGATGGTACTGTTGACAATGATAAAGATAGCAAGGTGTTTCTATTTGGTTCCCTTGAGGTTCCTCTGGTCAACATGGAAACTAGTCTGAAGAATTATGTAAGTTTTCGGTTTTCTTCGTTTGTATGTTTCCTAGGCATCAGTTATCTTATATCCTTGATTTTCAGGATCCATCTGAAGAAGCTTTTGATATCAACTCTGTGCCTAGGGAAGTAAAATCCCAACCCCTTGCAGAAAAGAAAGCCCAGGGTAAAAAGCCCACTGGTCTCGGCGCGCCACCAGCTGCACCTGCTTCTGGCTTTGATGGCTATGAAAGACTTCTCTCATCTATTCCAGAGTTTGCCGCCTTTGGAAAACTTTTCAAGGTTGGGGTTGAATTTTCTTCTGTTTCACTCTAATATTATGGACTTACCTCCACTGCTTTAACGTGTACTTCCTTTTTCAGTCTTCTTCACCTGTGGAGCTAACGGAAGCAGAAACAGAATATGCCGTCAATGTTGTAAAGCATATCTTTGACAATCATGTGGTGTTTCAGTACAACTGCACCAACACAATACCAGAGCAGTTGTTGGAGAGGGTACTGAACCTTTGGTCTAGAACATTGGTGTAAAGCGTATCTTATTTCCTTCTTTCCTCGTTTCATTATTCTGGCATGTGTTTTTTTTGTAGGTCAATGTCATTGTAGATGCTTCAGAAGCAGAGGAATTCAGTGAATCAACTTCAAAGGCTCTGAACTCACTTCCTTATGATTCACCTGGTCAAGCCTTTGTTGCTTTTGAGAAGCCAGCAGGTGTCCCTGCTGTTGGAAAGTTTTCTAACACATTGACTTTTGTTGTTAAGGAGGTACATGTTGCTTTTCATATCTATCTAATTATTATTTATATACTGTATACACGCTGATGATTGTTCAGAGGTACAAAGGAAAGCAATGCATTATAAATGTGTTTGTAACAGGTTGATCCAAGCACAGGTGAAGCAGAGGACGATGGGGTAGAAGATGAGTACCAGCTGGAGGATCTTGAGGTTGTAGCTGCAGATTACATGGTGAAAGTTGGTGTCTCCAATTTCAGGAATGCATGGGAAAGCATGAATGAAGAAGATGAGCACGTAGACGAATATGGGCTTGGCCAGAGAGCGAGTTTGGGAGAATCTATAAAGGCTGTCATCGATCTTCTTGGCATGCAGCCTTGTGAGGTTAGTCTCTTTTCCTGCTTTTCTTACTCAAAAAGAGAAATTGCCAAAGGAAGTTATTTCTCATACTTGGTCCGGGTCAGCTTGAGTATACACAACGGTTTGTTGTTACCCGGTTAGGTGATAACTTGAAACTGACACTTAATTACAGGGGACGGAGACAGTACCGAGCAATGCAAGGTCACACACTTGCTTATTGTCAGGTGTGTACATAGGGAACGTGAAAGTGTTAGTGAGGGCACAGTTTGGGATGGACAGTTCGCAGCAGATTGCAATGAAACTGGCTGTTAGAGCAGAGGACGTCTCTGTCGCTGAGGCCATTCATGAGATTGTTGCCAACGGCTAAAAGTCTGATGGATCACCCTCTCACTATCTTCAACCACCACCAAAGAGTTTGTTATTACAAGTACAAGGCCAGAAATAAACAAGAGTTTTCTTCATCTATTTTTTTTGTCAACTCTGGTTTTTCTTCATCTATTTTGTTTTGAATAGTATATTAGTACCTTCTTTTTTCGACATTATAATTGTCAAATACTGGAGTTTTTCCTATATGATGGTTTTGTTACGTTTGTGTTTGATTTGATGGTTAAAATAAATAGTTGAATTGCTGAGAAACTATCCTATTGCATCATTAATCATCAAAGAATGTGTTTACCTTTGTTAACATATTAGGATGAGTGCATGCAAGTTGTTTGATATATTGTTCCTTGATCATGGGACTCAGTGATAAGAAACACATCTTACTAGTGTTCTTCAAGGAGGTTTCTCTTTGGTTTCTCGGAGGTTCCTGTGGTCAACATGGAGACTAGTCTGAAGAAGTGAGTTTTCCATTTTCTCGCTTTTCATTGTTTCATATGCTTCATAGGACATCAGCCTAAGTATGTCTTAGCTCTAGAGGATTTAAGCACGAATTGATTAGAGATTTCACACCGAAGGGGGCAAAGGTTTGGTTAAGGCAAATGAAGAATAAATAAATCAAAAGCACACTAGTAAACAAGGGAAGTTTTGATTCTCTCTAATACAACTCCACTATTCAAAAGCACAACACACCTTCCCCATCCCCATTTTTTCACACAGATTACAAACACAGAGTACAGATTATATTAACCAAAACCACAAGAGCTGGAGATACACTTGAGAGGCACCTCCTATCTTTGTTTTCTCTTCATATCACTCTCCTGTGCCCTCCAAACGCCCATATCTGTGTAATTTAGTAAATACACAAAATCCTCAAAACTCTATCATCTTAATCACAACTCTCATGTTGTTACTCTTGGTTTAGAGAGACACTAACCTTTAGATTTGAATCCCAGCTTCCTGTACACAAGGCACTTCCATCTGCTGACATCCCCAAACAGCTTATCCGGTTCTTGTGCGAATCCTGCAGTTCCCCCAAATCCAATACAACCTGCATGCAAATTACCCCCCACATTCAAACATTTACACATCACAATGAATTAAATAAACAACTATCACCATCATACTTATTAATAATTAGCTTACCTCTCCCAAAAGAGTATCCCAAACGTAGCAGGCGTTGTTGTTCGCGTAGCCAGCGAAAAGAAGTCTCCCAGAGGCAGAGAAAGCAATGGAGGTCACAGGTACATTCTCACCATCACCATGTGGCTGATACACCTGGAGTTGATGCCCCGTCCTAATGTCATACAACCTGCATGTTCCATCGTCTGATCCAGTCCCAAATCTATTCCCATCCGGAAAGAACTTGACAGTGTTAACATCTCCCTCATGCCCATGAAACGTTCGCACCGCTCGGCTTGCAGCGCGAGTGTCCCATAAGCGTGCAGTGGTATCACATGAACCAGAAATGAACCAGTTTGGGTTTGATCCGCTGATTGAGACACTGAAAGAAATGGAGGCACAATAACGGTGTATAAGTGCATGAGTTTTAACTTAAATCACAATCAAATAAACTCCCTATCATATGAACCCAGCCTACAAATTCATTCAAAATCAAAATGGGAATGGTCTTAGATGTTTGAGTGTATCTTTCTAAACCATATAAACGAAACTGATGCCAATTAAACCAAGCAGATGGAAGAAACATACATACCTTAGTACATCAGCAGTATGTCCAGACTGAAACTCGCCACCAAAAACAGAAGTTTTAAGGCCAGTAGTTACATCCCATAAGACACATGTTTGATCACCTGAACTTGTGATCAGATGAGCATCCTCATTTGGGACATACTGACAGCACGAAACATACCCCCTGTGGCCACTGAGCATCCTTGAAACCGGCACAGTTCCATCCTTATCCGCAGTAGAGCTAAGACTAAAGATAGAACACACACTGTCTAACCCACCACAAGCAACCGTCTGACCATTTGGAGAGAAGGCACAAGTCATAACCCATGCACAAGGGAGCTTTATAGCATGAGTTTTCTGACTCGTAAGAGCATTCCACACGATTAGCCTCCCATCTTGAGATGCACTGACAATCCGGTTTCTCTCCGGCGTCCAGTCCAACGAATAAACCTGTAAATTACAAAATGTTAAAAACTACCTCATCTGAATTCCTCATAAAGAATGAAGCTTTTGGTTCACCCTAAAATGCTTCACTCCCTAAACCCTTAAAATGCTTACACTCATCTGAATTCCTCATAAAGATTGAAGCTTTTGGTTAACCCTAAAATGCTTACACTCCCTAAACCCTTAATCTTAACCATACATAAGGAAAGTCTAGTAAAATTCGGTAACTATATGTAACAAATAGAATCTTCAAGATGGAACCTGATCCGACCTAAACTCCTTCAAAGAATGAAACTTTTAGTTAACCCTGAAATGGTTACACTCCCTAAACCCTTCATGACGATTCATAAGCTAGAAATCTCCATAAAGAAGCATACTTGAAGAATAAAAACATATACTTTGCAGTAAATTTTCAGTTAGAAATGAATCAGAGATTGATTCACTTGTAAGATAGAGATCGAAAGTTTTCTCACTCACCTTGCCCGTGTGACCCTGAAGAGTACGGCAACAAACCAGATCCGTGGCTCCGAATTTCACAGGAGAACGACCTTGAGCCGCCGAGTACTTAGCCACTGCTCCAAAATTCAATCCCAAAGAAATCAAAAAACAGATCTAAGAATTGTGACGAAGAAGAGAATCACAAACCATCGGTGTCTAGAAGCTGGAGACGTCTCTGTTTAAGCCTATCACGGAGGTTGTTAACGGTCTCTGTAGCGACGGCGTGGCGTTCTTTGAGCTCGGAGACAGACATTAGAGATTTTTTTCAGACTTGGATTTCTCCGTCACCGATCAAAGGATGTTAGAGAGTAGAGAGGGGAAGTTTTTGGGGGTGGAGAGGTCTAGAAGGGAGGAAGAAGGTTCATGATTGATTGATTGAACCCTAGAAGAGAGAGAGAGAGAGAGAGTTGATTTTGGGGGGAATTACGTGGGAAAGGAGAAGAGAGATGATGAAGCAGTCAAGACACGCTTGTTGTTGTTGTTGTTGTTTGATGTCTCTCTGACCTGAGATTGAAAGAGAAAGCAGATGTGTGTGTAGCCAAGAGTCAATCGAATATTGACTGTTGTAAACGGTGTCGTTTTGAGTTTAATGTTTATTTTTTTGTACCTTTCCCGTTGATTAATTCTGTCTTGTAAAATTATTTTTAAAAATTGATGTATTGCTAATCTTTTTTTCCAAATTATCCAAAAATTATGTGATGGCGTTTTTGTTATTATGAAAAAAATAGAGATCTGAAAGAGAAAATTGTCATTCCTCAGGTAACAGAAAATAGATGGATTTAACTCACTTGTTTCATATCTGCATAACAAAGATTATAGACTTTTGTTTTTTGAACAACTACAAAGATTATAGACTATAGTGTATAAATAAAGGGATGTCCTAATTTAATATATTCAGATCCATATGAAAATGGAAAGAAAGTCTTTTTCATGTGGAAAATAGCCGTTACCGACTACCAATAATAGTTATTTAATTATAGAATGTACGTACGTAGCTACTATAAAACTAATAACAACGGAGGAGGAAGTAAGAGTAGTTAATTAAACTACCACCAAGAAGCTAATTGTGCCCCATTACATATGAACATGGAAGATTAGGGACACAATAAGTATCAGTAGAAAAGATAGAGAAGAATAAGCTTTTGGTTCAACTGCTCCATTATGTTTGCTCTCTAATTTGTCTGAGCTCACATACTTGTTCATTACTCCTGTACTTCCTGCTCCTCCTCCTCCGGGATAGACGCAGCTGTTATAACCTATCAATATTCAAATCCAACATAAGAAACACCAAATCAGTACGAGCATTTTTTATTGAGTTGCTCAGTGGAACAAGTTTGGTATATACTCAAAAGGATATGAGTGTTATCTCTTTCATATAATATATTTTCAGACCAATCCTAAAACCTAATGCAAGTTCACTGATGTAGTCTTTGTTAAGATGGAGAAAATACTTACTAGGGTTTTGGGAGGTGAGTGTTGCGGATTGAGAGAAATCACAGTCTGTAGGCTTTTTAGGAGACTTTTGAAAATACATATTCATGGCAAAGGCTGCATGTGACGCCACATTGTTTGGCTCGAAACAAGCTCCTCCTGGTTGTATCGGCCCACAGTCTATTCCTTGTCCACACGCCCAATCCAAGCTCGCTTGCAACTGCGCATCCGTCGCACCATTCCTCGGTACACACCACCCCGTCGATGTCACTTTTCCCGACGGCGGCGACTGTTTTAATGAACACAAAACATTATCTCAAAAAAATAAAACATCAATTGTTTATTTGCATTTTCTCCACCTTCACATGTTAGATTGTAACCTAACGTTTGGTACTATATTAAAACAAAACTCTGTTGTTAAATGTGAACACATGTGTATTAAACAGTAACTAAGAGGAGTCTAAATGATTTGGGAACTGGGATTAAGATTATCTAACCTGACTACTACTGTTGCTGCTACTACCGCTACTCTTGGCAAGGCCTGCATCATAGGCCATGGAAAGATCGGTTTTGAAAAGCCCGAAGGCACGTTCTGAAGATGGTCCGGGCTTTTGATTCTCGTCATAGAGTGCGAAGATGTATGTGTCTACGGGCTTCCCAGGCATGAGAGGTGTGCCAACCATTGACCTCAGATGAGCTATTAGGTTTCCGTTGTATGCTTTAGCATTATCCACGCTCGGTCCAACTTCATTGGGATCCCCTCGTGAAGGCCAACCTGTTTCTGCCACCACGATCTCCACCTTCTCGAATCCAACCGATTTCAAAGCCGAGTGAACCGCATCTACCTGTAATTAATGAAACAAAGAGTCTGTAACGTGTGGTGCAAGCAACGACGAGTTCTACTAGTTTGAAAGTAGACATAGCACCAAATTTCAGCAAAAAAAAAAATTAAAAAGACATAAACACGTAATATGACCCGAAGAGACACCATAGTCTTTTTCTCTCTTATTTTTGTACCTATTTTATTAATTTTGACACCACTGCTTACGTGGAATTGATGATGACTAGTACAAACAAACGTTTCAAGAAACATCTAAAACAAGTGGGAATCCAGCCTGTCAGACAAATCAGTAAACGGCTGACAACGAGTTATTCCCTAAGAAGATAATCATTACTACAAAACATGAAATATAAAACGAAAATTAACGTTTTTAATATTATTACAAAACCAAAGCAGATGTTAACTAAGAAAGTGTAGACTGTGAGAGTAAGACACATACGGCTCGTATGGGACCCGTATCATCCAACGAGAACAACTGTCTTTTTGTACTACATACAATAAGAATATAGATTCCTTCTAAGTGGTAAAAGTAGTGATAGAGAATAAGTTCCTTGGTACACTCTAGTGCAAAGCAAATCATCTACAAAATAAATATTTGTAACCAAAAGTTCAAACTATATATTGAATACTTTAATTTTTACTTGAAACTAACCGACATTAGCTAAGTTTGCGTAAGTTTAAATTAGCTACCCAAACACAGAAAGTGAATTGATTACTTTTCAGACCAGACTCATTAAAGCGTGGGCCCCAAGTGTAATTAATTTACCTGTGCATCGAACATGTTCATGTACTTGATTCCCGTGTTAGCGTCAAGTCGACCCGGATTAGGCTGGAAAAGACAAAACGCAAGCGTTTCAGGTCTCGGATCATCTCGATACGCGAAGAACGGGTACGGGTTAATAGTGAAAGGCGATCCAGTGTCGCTTAGAAACTGTAGAATCCCCTTTAAACCGGCTTGATAACCGGGCTTAAACGAACCGGCAGATGGCGGTTCCGAGTTACCAAGCACCGTCATCGAATGCACCGTCGAGACCTTGATTTTCCCGCCGAGAGACACCGCCTCGAGTGCTTTTTGGACATTTTGCATCGCTGGGAGAAGCTGGTTCACTAGATTTGGATCGTTCGACATCACCACCTGGTACGACCGGTTTACACTTACGGTTTAGTGAAACTTCAATTTAATTTTTGTATTTTTTTAAATTAGACCGAACCTCGTTGCCGATGGTGATGAGGATGATTTTGGAGGCGGGGTAAAAAGGGAGGACGTTGGAGTTGATCCATTGAGAGGCGGCGTTAGGATCGGCGGCGAGAGAAGGAATGTCTCCGTTACCGGCGCCGATGACGATACCGATACCGGTTCCGGCCAAAGCTTTGATGATGGCGGGATCGGCGCCGTAGAGTCTGACTTTCTGAATTGAAGAGGATTTGAGGAGCTTGACGGTTTCGGACGGTGGAGGGAGATTGTCGGCGACTTGGCCGATGTTGACTCCGATGAATGGCTCTGCATCTGTTGAGTAAAAACAAAGAAAGGAAATTAAGGGTAGATTGAGGGAAAAGCTACGTCGTATTGAAGAAGATACTTACGTGAGGAAGGGAAGTGGGATAGGAAGATGAGGAGGAGAGAGAAGTAAGTGGAGATAGCCATCATGATGGTGAAGAAGGATGAGACAGAGATTCTGAGATAGTTTTATAAGTGGATTAAACAAAAAGGTCTTTTTTTACTGTAACGGTTACGTTGTAGAGAGGCGAGTTTTGAAAAGAAGACACGTTTTGTGCTCGTTTTTCCACAGTCTACGTGTTGACTTGTATTTCTCTGTCTGAAGTGTAAGTCTTCGGTCTTGGTCTTCTTTTTTGGGAGTATTATATGACCCATTCCGGTAAGAACTTGTTTTGCAAGATAAGTTTTGAAAGATAGCTTTTCTTTGTTGTTTTTATTATCAATATAAGAAATTGAATCGCAAATTATTGACTTAAAAAAGAGATTTGAATCAGTAGAGTTATAACAAGTTTTTGAGATCAATGTATGCACAAGTAGTTTCGAAAAAAAGAAATGTATACACAAGCATCTCTCGACAAAAGTTTTACTGTCCAAAAGCATGTTCGTTAGTTCGATTTGAAGTCTAAAAAACTTTAAGCAATGGTTGTAAAAAAAGTTGATCGAAGTAGGTAGCTTGTAGGGCTCATAAGTACAAAAGATGGTTGTGACATTTATTAAAATCTCGTAATTTAAGAGAAGGGGATGCTAAATTTGCTAACATGTGCATTAGTTTCGTGTTTATGTAGCTTGATAAATGCATATTAGGTTTTTATCTCAGAAAATGCGGATGACATGACTCCCTCTTTTCCATGCTACTTCCCAGGATAAGTGTTAAGCCCATTCTTTACGTTTCAACCCCACCGGCTCCAATAATTTCAAACTTTTTGGTGATTTCACAAAATTTCAACGCAATTATTATATACGACTGCAGGCATGTACAACTGTTAGGTTTAACTAAAGCTTCTATTGGCATTTTGACATCATTTTAGACAAAACGACCAAGAAGGTTGAACAAATACATCATTATTTGCATATTCCAAGAATAGGACCACAGCTTTTTCTATCCAGGATTTGTTGACATTTTCATCAGCAATAACTCAGAAAAGTATGAGCGCACCAAAAAAAAAAGGAAAAGCCCAAATTCAATCCAAAACCCCAAAGCCGAACAAAAAAAGAGAAATGATCGAGATGATAACAAACAAACAAACGAAAGAACCTCCAATCCCAAAATACAGAAACAGAACCACAAACAAACAGACTCCACTCCATTATAATCTCAAGAAACCAAGTTAAAATAAGACCTGATATTTAAGCATAACCCAGACTGAACAGAGATTCCCCTTAACTTAGGCACCTGAGTGCGAGACCGGTGTCGTCTCGAACTTCCCGTCAGTGAACACATGATTGTACTGTTGTGGCAGTGCATGTTCCACCTACAATGTTGTGATAAAACCACTATGAGAATGATTCCTTCAATGAACAGTGTCCTCTCACTCGCACAGACGAGTCGCTTGGTTACAATAAGCTTGCAATCAATGACTTCTAACTTTTGGTATCACCCAAAGTAACTAGACTATAGAAACATTTCACTGTACGAAGAATACAAAAAATTAAAAGATTTTCGTTGTTATATAGAGAGGAAAGCATACCCAATCTCCATCAGGGGAAGCACCAGGGACCATTACATTGATCTCACTCGACTTGGCTGTTGTGATAGCTGTTTCTAATGAGTCTTTGTTTAGGTATAACTGGCAGCCAGTTGTGTTGTCCACAGAAACTGTGGGAGCTGAACCCTGCAACCCCCACATATGACGTAAAGACAAAGCAAGAGATTGCCCTTTTGAAGATATAAATTTTCGGCATCAGAAAAAGCTACAAATGCTAGAAAACATACCTGACATTGTACTTCTACGTTGGTGCAATTCACAATCTCAAATGCAGCAACAACATCCTATGTCGACATGTTACATTTTACATGATCAGAAATCAAATAACTTTACATTGTTGGAATGTATGAGGAAACAACACTTACCGTGAAAACAACACCCATTTTGGTGCATTTGTCAATGGTGATGTTATTAACTTTTCCTACAAATTATGGAACAACAGTAAGGGACTCAGATCTTTTAGCAGATATCCAACTTTTACATGAAATTGGAATGGTGCAAAGTTACCTTGTATCTGCAAGACAGAATCTTTGCAACCAAATACATACACAGACTGTTTGGAATCACACTCGCTGATAACCAAGTCCTTCTTCCCAATTTGGTTCTCAACAGCCCACCTAAGATAATACAGTAGAAGCCAACAACAATATTAGAGTAAATCACCACAATTTGAATTTGCACCATATAGTTATTTGTTAGTAAAACCCACTTGCGACCCATTTGAAGTTCCATTTTCGGTGGTCCAGTTTTAGAAAAGGCTGGTTTAGTTGTAGGAGTTTCCTTCTCAATGGAACTCACTGCTCCGGATCTATCAGTACGGTTCTTTGTCTTCATATCATCTGTCACTTTTCTAAGACCTGGAAAGCAAAAAACAAGAATAATAATGATGGCTTGGAAGATTCAGACAGACATTGTGCCAGAAATACGAAGACATATACAACATAACATACCTGAGGTCACAGCACCAGAGCTGAGCTGCTGGAAAACAGCAGACATCCCTTGTTTCTGGTTCGACGAAGATGATGCCTTGGAAGATTCAGAACTGAAAAGCGATGCAGATGGTGCCGGGGGAGGAGCAGGAGCACCAGGTGGACCTTTGGCAGGAGGAGCACTAGCAGGTTTCCCTGATGCATTCCATACAGGTCCCAAGGCGTAATGACTTTTAACATACTCCCTCAAACCAGGTAAGTAAAGTTCCTTCAATGCCTTAGCCCACTCCACATGATTCGCATCTTTGTTACGGTACTCCACCAAAACCTGAACAAGAACATGAAAATCACATAAATTAGCAATTTAAGCTTATACAATCTGAATAAGCAATTTCTTTAGCTATGCATTTAACTACATAAGGCAGCATATAAAGAGAGTGAATATTAGCTTAGCTAAGACCTTATTGTTGTAAAACTCAGCCATCTGCCAACTTTCTTCCACATGAGCGATAGGCATGCTCATACCTTACAAGGCAAAGAGCAAAATTACATCACAATCAACCAATTCCACTGAAAATCACAGAACGTATTAAAGTTCAATCTGCTTACCACAATCTTTTCCGGTGAAAGCAATCCAAGCCAATGCAGAGAGACTATCAGTTGCAGCCTTCAGATGATTGAAGTAATCATTCCTCCTTCCTTGAGTCATTGCATCAGCTTTCATCGTAACATCATTCAACGGCTTAAGAAATCCAGCTAACCCCGCCATGTCAGGCTTCTACTCAATCCAAAAATCACATCTAAATATCAAAACCAATCCAAATCGAATTAAAACCTAATATCGGATCGTACGTACCTGAGTTTGCTTGATGCGAACGAGAAGATCCTTCTGCGTAGAAAACGCCTCGGCGACGATCTTCGTCACATCTAGAACAGGTCCACCGATCTTCTCCGCCGCGCTCAGAACCCTACCAACGCATTGCGAAATCAGATCTTCGTAAGCCAGAATCGACGGATCAGACGCAGCGACATCGGTTCCGGCGCCGGAGGAGAAATCTCCTCCGCGCGAAAGAGTAACTCCTCCTCCTCCGGTGCTTGAGATCCCCTCGAGCCTCGTAACCGCAGCTTCAAGACGCTTGATTAAACTCTCATCCATCTTCGCTTAACAAACAGAGTTCGCAACAGATCTAGATTAATAAAAATCGAATTAAAATGGATTTGATTTTTTTGGCCTTTCGTGTGGGGTATGTTTGTGTTGTTTGATGATGGAGAAGTCAGGAGAATACGTGATGACACGTGGCGAGTTTTGGATCATTTTTAATTTTAACAATCGCAGGTAGTGGAGTGGCCGTGGATTGTCGGATCTCGAGAGCTGGTATATATTTGCTTGACCCGAAACCGGATCCGAAATCGATTCGGTTCGTTTCAGATTTTGGTAATCGGTCCAACAGTAATTGCGGTTTAAAATACGGTTCAGTCTTTATACCCTTATTATTCCGATACGGTTTAGTTTTGATTCGGTATAATCTTCAGGTCTTTTGTTTTAGTCTTCAATTTCATGTGGCCAAGTAAAGTTAAGAAATGCACTAATGTGTTCACCGTCTTTCATAGATATATATGATACTATATATTTACATATTACAAGCCTTAGAATTTGAACTCCATTCTCATATATATCTAATTTCACTTTTCAAACTCTCTCTTTTGATTTTCAACTCATATGAATCTATGTAATACTTATAAGAATAAACGAGGAAGCATCTATCAATCTGGTTGTGAAGCCAATAGCATCAACTCTCAAGTGGTCTTCCCTAAACATTGTGATGAGCATGCTTGTTTGTCTGGGTTGATCTGTGTTCCTATGTTGAGTAAGAAGATATAATTAGAAACATAAATAGGTTGATCAATATGTTAGAGAAATCTCTTTTAGCTTTTGAAGACTTACAGGACGGAAAGGGAAATCATCAGCCTCAAGCATGTGAATGATTTGTCCCATCTTTGGCCGTTTACCAGCATCAAGGTCTATGCAACGCAAACAGACAAGCAAAGCTCTTTTCAAAGCTCTTGGATGAGGTGGTGGATCTTTTATTTTAGGGTCTATAACTTCTTCTCCACGTCTACTTGCAACCATTCCTTTGAACCAATCCACCAAGTTCATCTGAAAAACAATCATTTACATATGTTTTTGGAAGGAAATGAATGTTAGTGCAAAGTCCACAATATATATTATGAGCTTACCTCCCCAGGGGGTCGAGAATAATCGACAGGGCTCCTTCCTGTTATAATCTCCATGAGAAGAACACCGAAACTATAGACATCACTACACTCATTAAGCATGCCCGTACTTGCATACTCCGGTGAAACATATCTGCACGAGCAAAATTTACAAGTTCAGTAACTTCTTTGTAAGCTTAAAGATGTCAGGAAATCAATCTGCTCACCCAAAAGTTCCCATCACACGAGTTGTCACATAGCTCGTTTCAGATCCTAATAACTTGGCCAAACCGAAATC